TTTAACATAAAAAGAACTTGTTCTTTCCATCTCTCTGTACTAGAATTTTAATGAGTTATATGACCAAATAATTGATCAATTAGTTCTATGAAATAATATGTTGCTTCAATATTAGTATCATTGTAACAGATGAATGAAAATTCAACGATACTGACAACAATATTTTATCCAGCGAGGATGTTGCACCCCTTCGAAAATTGGTGTTTGCTCTGCTGGAAGAGAAAATCTGAATCAAACACTGACCAACAGAATTCATTCTCGTGTAAAAAGAAAAAGTAAAATTAACAAAATTTGTTGTGTATCAACATGTCTATCTATTCAGTAATGAGAAATCATGTTCAAGCAAAAACTCTACTCGTCAGTGTTTTATCCAAAGATCCTCTTCCGAGTAGACGAACATCTAGTTTTAGTAGCACAGTCTCATAGTACGTAGTACAAGAATCGCAAACTCTGAGAGAGTCAATTTAACCTTCGGAGAGGCGTCGCTTACACACTGGATAAACTTCTGTTTATATTGAAGTTTATACTAAGGACAAAACTCACTTTATGACGAACCTTTGTCTTTTTTTAAATATCTATGAATATACAAACCTTAACACGAGATGAAGCATTTAGCATAATATATTTATTATTTCCCCGGATATTTTCTGTCCACATAACAAGCCATGATACTTTATTATCATGTCGAACTTCTTTCCAACGATGTCCTTCAGGTGGTTTAGGTATGTGTGCTTCTCGACCAATATTAATAATAATATCTTCTGGTCGAATACGTTTTTTAACACAACCCATTTTTGGATGTTCACCACGACCACGAAATAAACCCGGTGGTTCAATTTTATAATTCCCAACTGGTTGTCGATGTTTATCCCACATACAATAACCATATTCTTTACGTAATTTTTCATTTTCATCTTTTAATTTTTTTTTCTCTTCTTTACTCATAGCTTTTCTTTGTTCACTTTGTTCTTTAAAATAATTAGCAACTTGTGTAAAATCACATTTACGTATATCTTTAATTAATTCACGTTCAGCTTGTGTCATTGATTTACGCCAATCAGACATAAAATTATTATTAAATATTTCTTTTGATGTATAATCATGATCAAGCATACGAGAATAAAATGTCATTATTTCTTCAGCTGGTTCTTTTAATTTAACTTCCGTACCTAAGAGCAAAAAGAAAATTTTAGAATAAAAAAAAAAAAACAAGTCACAAATAGAAACAAACCATTATAAAAAAATTTCACATGTGACGGTAGTGATTCATAAGGAGGTGGAAATAATGGACCTTTATGTTCAAGTGTTGTCCATTTACGACCATCAGTATATTTTTCTTCTTCCCACCTGAATAAAACAAAAAAAAGACACTTGCGAATTAGAAAAAAAAACAAAGAAAAATTTTACCATCGCCAAACATCTTCTTCTTCGTCTTTTTTCTTTCGTTTTCCAGTTGTTTCTTTCGTTGGTGATGAACTTATTGTAGGTTTTAATTCTTTTTTAGGTGTAACTTTTTCTTGTTTTATATTTATTGATACTTTTTTAATTGGTGATGATGATGATGATTTAACATCTGATGTTTTTTCTTTTTTTACAACAACTGACGATGTCGATTTTTTTTCTATTTGACTTTTAGCTTTTTTAGCCTAAGAAGAATATTAAAAAAAATAAACATAAAAGAATTTAAAATAATAATTTACCAATGGAATATCATCATCATCAGTCTCGACATTTGTACTTTTACGTTTTGGTGGTGATGATTCAGATTTTGGTTCTTTTTTAATAATAGGCGTTGTTGATTCTTTTTTAATTACAGGTGTTGTTGTTGTTTCCTTTTTAACAGTTGGAGTTGTAGATTCTTTTTTAACAGTTGGAGTCGTAGGTTCTTTTTTAACTGTAGATGTTTCTGAAGCATCTTTTTTTGTTGGTGTTAATTCAGTTTTAGATTCATTTTTAATTGTAACAAACGTTGATGAAGCTTGGCCATTTATAGCAGCAGCTTTTTTAGCCTGTAGAAAGGAAGAATATCAATAGAAAAAAAGTCTATCGTTTTTCATGGTTTTTTTTTGCTTTAGGTAACACGCACAATATCTCTGATAACAGCTCGAAGTAAATATTCAAAAGTATAGTCAACTGTGAGCTGAACAGGCATCTTGTATGTGAATTTAGAAATGAAAGTAAACAACTGAATAAATAGGTAAAAATTTTAAAAAATGAATAGGCGGGATGAAAATCAATTTTTTTGTTTGGTTTTTCTTACCAACGATTGGTTGTCGTCATCCGATTCGTCACTACTGGATAGAACTCGACTTTTTCGTTTTATAGGTGAACTTTGAATTGTTTCTTTTTTATTAATGATTGTTGATTTCGAAGTACTTCCATTTGATGTTCGTGATGTATTATTATTGACTTCTTTTCTGATCGATGTTGATGACGATGATGATGGTGATGAATTCTTAGTGCTATTTGTATTTGTTGAAAGGACGGATGATGTTAATTTTGGATTGGCAATACTCGTCATGTGTAGAATGTTTTTTTTTTAAATGTGGACAATGAAAAAACGACAAAAAAACTCAAAGAGATTAATAGAGTGATAGAATAAAGATGGTTATGGTTATGCACATACAATGAACAAACGAACGAACGGATTGTTTGTGTGTGCGTGGGATTTTATTTTGTGCAAGGTAGCCAACTTGTTGGATAAAAACATGAGTCATACCAAGATAGGTGCGTTGTGATGGTGCAATAATAGAAAATTCAATAGGAGAAATAATGTTAAAAATAAAAAAAATCATTATTTTTTATTTTAGTTTAAAATTTTATTTTATCATATTTATTGTCTAAGACAAATAATAGATGTCGTTAATTATTGGCTTTTCATTTAAGTTTAAAAAAAAACGATGAAATTATATGCAAGTTGATCTCAAGAGAATAAATCAACGTAGAATTCATAGGAGGTTTCGTTTTTTTTAAATAAATCTCTCAACAATTGACATACAATGTCATTTTCTTTTTTAATTATAATCCAAAAAACAAAATATAGCCTATGAAACTTCTTGCTAATGCATTCTGTCTTTTCTTTTTGTTCATGAATAAACTACACAAGAATAGAATTATTATATGAATGTTTTACATAATTATATGATGCTCATTTTTACATAATTATATAATTCAATTATCTTTTGCAGTAGAAGAATCAAAGCACAGTTGGTTTTTCTTTCAACATGTAAGTATTAGAAGAAAAATATGCAGTGTAGAAAGGTTTCTTGTTTTTTTTTATCTCTAATATGATGTTGTAGACGCTGTTTGACTTCATGAGAATCTTATTGACGTTCTGTATCATTCATTGCTTTTGTTAGTCACGCACAGATACAAGAATAGTATTAAGGCGAGTGTCGATTTGTTATTAAAATGAATATAATATTTGGTAATTTTAGAACAACTTGATTAGCTATCATGCATACAAAATGATGGATGAAACAAAAAAAAACAATAAAGACTTATTTTAGTAAAACAAAAAAAAAGTTATGAAAATCTTGTTTTTTCAGTATTTCTTCAAGTGCCTAGATAAAAGACTATAGGATTCGTTTCATATGTAAGGAAATGATTTGGATAATGAGTTATAAATACAGGATATGACAACTACCGGACTTGTGCGATTAAATATATTATTTTATGTTTGCTGACTATCAATTAGAACTTATTTATTATTTCTTTTTCATAATCTGAAATCGAATCTCTAAATATTTTCTACATATATATATTGTATAATAATATAAAAGTAAACATTTCTTTAATTAAATTTTATACTTAGATTTGTTATTGAAAGGAAGAAAAAATAGGAAGTTTATTAACGAAGAATAATCAATAGGAAGTGTAAAAATTGACGAAAAACAATACTATAGTGAATAGACAAATTAATTTGTTCAATAGTTAAAATATTTGATTATTTATATAGACATTGGTATTCCTATTGTGTAAAGAAAAACAAAAATTATCAATTCTTGTCATATCCATTCGTATTAATTATTTATTAATAACTTTATATTTTCGAGTACGAAGACTGACCTTGTGCACAGAAATATGTATACAGAGTCTCTTATCGATACGTGACAGGTTAAACAATGACTATCATATTCAACATATATTTCTATTTTGGATCATACGTAAGTGTTACTCCGTCGTTATTATTAGTTGATGCTCATTTTTTGTTTTTTATATGTTCGAGAGAGATATAGCTGAAAAGGAAGAGAAGAAAAACTAGAGAAAAACAATGAGGATGTTTAATAAAAAAAAAAGAAATACTGTAAAGGTAAGAAAGTATTTCGCAATTGTTTTATTTTTTTCTAACACTAATAATATATCTTCTCTATGAGCTGGACATTTTATTGTATATGTTTGTATATATAGACATATGTCATGATTAGTGGAAAAAAAACAGCAAAATCTGTTCTGCGATACCCATTTAGAAACATATTTTGCTTTGTATATCTATACCCTCCGTTTTTTTTTTCTATATATGCATTTTCTCATCTTTATCAATGTGTAACTAGATTCTTTTGACAGTAACTGTAAAATAAGTCTGTCATTAATGCTCGAATATTAGATAGTCAAGAGTTATATTAAAGGAAGCTAAAAGACTCGATGGATAAGATTGTTATTATCTTAGTAATAAAAAAATTCTCTTATTAACTGACTTACCTTTTTAAACTATACGATTATTGGATCTCTTCTATATACGCATAAATCTGCCATTGACACACTTTTCTTTCTATTTGTTCGATTAATCAATGTATATCTTACGAAAATAGATGTTTATATCTCATTATATCTTTTTTTTTTCTTATGATATTCCTCAGCTAATCTTCTATTTCAATACATTTCTATATTCAGAAAAAAGAAGAAAATTTCTTTAAAGTAAAATAAATTCTTAACTTATATTTACAGATAATATAATAGAAAAATTTTGAAATTATGTAATAACAAAAGAAACAAACATAATGGACAGTTCATCAAATGTTACTATTGACGATTTAGTTATTGATAATGCTGCATTATATGAATCAATTCGTAAATCATTGAAACGTGATCCATTTGAACATTATGTTAATGGTGTATGTGGTCTATTTATTTGTCTTCTTGGTATTATTAGTAATGCACTAAGTTTTTCGATTCTTATTCGAAGAACAATGCATCTTTCAACTTATGTTTATTTAGCTGGACTTTGTTTAAGTGATTTTACTGCTTGTCTTTTTCTTATACCCGGTTATATATTAGATGCATATCCTGTTGAAGTACCAGATTCTGAATTACCACGAACATATGTTTATACAAAATTACTTATTATTGCTGGTATTTGACATTATAAACAATTGATTTTGATTTATTTTTGTTTTCTTTAATTAGGTGCAATTAGTACAACAGCACGTGCTCTTAGTGTATGGCTTTGTGTAGCATTCACAATTGATCGATGGATAAGTAAATTGATATTTTTCTTTGAAATCAATGCATTTTATTTTATTTTATTTTATTTTATTTTCATAGTGATATGTCGTCCATTTGTAGGTCCACTTTATTGTACAATGAAAAATGCACGATGTGTTACTTTATTGATATATATTATTGGTATGTTTTATGCTATTCCACTTATGTTTGAATATGAAGTACATGAAGAAAGATCTTTGTCCGAAATACTTAATGCTAATGTTAATAAAAAGATTTATCGATATAAATTGAGTGTATTAGGAAGTAATTCAATATTTCGATGGACTTATGCTTTAATAAATGCACTTGGTGTTTATGTTATTCCATTAATAGTTATTGCAATATTTAATCGAAAATTACTTATATCAATTCGTTTACTTGAAAAACGTTCAGCTGAATATAATGCTCCATTACCTACAAAACAAGGTAAATTGAAAAGAATTAATTAAAATTATGTTCTTTCTTTCTGTATAATTATTATTTCCTGGAAAAAAAAAGTTTTTTAATATTTAGAGTTTTGCAATAAATAATGCTGATATGATATATCCAAGGTTGATTTCGTTTTTCTGTTATAATAAAAGAAAATGTCAAGATGTTTTCATAATGAGAAAAATAAAGTCAAGACTGATTTTGACATTTTCATTATGACTTCATTAAAAGTGATTCTTGTCTTTCTTTAGAAGAAGAAAAAAAAATCTTCGTTTCCTGTCGAAGTACATAAATTATTAATTTCATTTTTATCTATTTTTCATCTTGGATTTCTTCATATACTCAAGTATTTGATTTTTTTCACGAAAGTAGAAAAGAAAAGGTTTTGTATAATTCAATTTTGAAATAGTTCAAATATGAATTATTTATCTTTATATGAATTAAACAAACCAATAGAATATGAGATAAACCTATGATTTCAAAAATATTTTCATATTAGTTGGTTTTTAGGTGTAACAATAATGTTATTAGCAACAACATTAATGCTTCTTGTATTTCGTTCACCATCAGCTACAGTATCTATTATGTGGTTAATTCGTGCAAAAATGTTTATTAATGAAAAAGCTCCATTTCGTTTACGAAAATTTCATTCAATTGCAAATCTTTGTGCAACATTTAATGCAGCAACAACATTTATTTTATTTATTATTTATGGTACAAAATTTCGTGCAGAATTTATGCGTATTTATTGTTTCATTTTAACTAAAATTAAAAAATCAAAACGAACAAATACAACAAAACAAGAACAACAACAACAGCAACAACAAATGCCACAATTAATATCAAATAATAATAAAAATGATAATGAACATCATATAAATGATATTAAAAATAAAATTAATTTAGCATTAACAAATAAATCTAATGGTAATGTTTATAAAGAATTATCAAAACATAATAGTAGTGCTGCAACATTAGTAACAACAACATCAGTTGCATCACTTTTGCCTATGAGACATTTAAAAAATCAATTCAAACAACAACAACAATCTTCATTTGAACAAGAATATGATTTTATGGTAAATAATAATAATGATTCTACCAATCCTCGACAACATGAAATAGCAATTCCAGAAGATGAATATAGTAGTGATCATAATGATACTAAGCCTGTATCGTTGACTGAATCCTACTTTGATTGGTTTAAAAACTTCATTGAATGTCAACAATAATGATAAGAAAAATTTCATTGTTTTTTTATTTTTATTTTTGGCGATAATATACGTCGATTAGTGCTTTATCTTAATAACTGCATATCAGTCTTTTACTTTTTCTCGCATCATCTATGAACTTTTTACGCTAGAGAATTAGCGAATCTATGTATATAGGGTGTTCAAAATTGACCGCACATATTTTATAAAAATATACATAGTGTTTTATTCGAAAGGGTGAACACCTATTTTTTTGAGTACTAGTACATAATACATAATAGAGATGAGATCGGTTCAGCTCGGTTTAAAATTTGAAAAACCTGAACCGATTCCATCTCTGATACACAGTACAATAATCACAAACACCGGGAGAGCCAATCGGGATTTCGGAGGATCGTCACCTCTTCCCACGTTAGATAATACACTAAATATATATATACATATTTCACGATGGAGAATTGTATATGTTAGAATTTCTAACGTGATAAATATTCTGAAGAATTTTTTTACGTACTAATGCGTTTAGATAGTGTCTTCTATTGAAAATCGTAAAATATTTCATTGCAAAATTTATGTCTATTCTTATATTAAGTGTATAATCAATTTGAGTATTTTAAGATCGTATCAGAAAGAAGTTATACTTGATGCTGATCAACTATAAAATCTAAAGTACAAGTTTTTAAAAAGTATACGTTCATATATGTTTGAGATATTAGGAAAATAAGATCATCTTTGAGACGTGCGATCAATTGTGAACAAAATTATATTTACATCTTATTGTTTGCCAGAAAACATTTTTTTTAACGTAAATTTTAAATACTCACACAAATAAAAAATTCATGAATAGAATCATTGAGTTTATAATGAAGGAAAAAAATATTAATCACGTAATGAGTATTTATGATAAGATACTATATATCTTTAATAAGAAAAAATAGTATCTAATTTTTATCCTATTATAAAGATCTTTCAACGTACATGATTTTAAAATAAGACTGTAGTACGTTTGACCTCCACTTCATTAATATCCAATCAGAATTAACATTATATATATAGTAGACACTTATTTTCTTGTCTCATACATTATAAAAGCAGCTGTCGTTACTTTTTTTCTTCCCGATATCTTTCAGAAAGAAAATAGAATATGATGCCAGTTTATAGAATCAATTATAGACAAACAAAGAAGTTGTTTTGACGACCTTCGATGATCTTACATTTGCTAATAAACAAGTCAATAATATCTGAGACAGTTTTATACATTAAAGTTATCATTTAGTTAGTACAAGTAATGTAAACATTTGTATTTACAATGCAAAATGTGTTCTTAGTAGTCATCTATACTGCAGTCATGATCGTGACCGCGATGAGATCTCTATTCTCAGATCACGTGAAAAGTCGACTTTCGGATTTCAACTTCAACTCAGTTGCATCGACAAAGTTCTCAATAAGGTTAGTTCACTGGGCAAGTTGTAACTTTTCTAGTATCTTCTATCCCGAGATATTCAATATTCGAAATTCTTTCATGTTTAAAAGCAAATTTTGTTTATATATTTACATCTCCAGAAAGTAAATACTAGTTGCACAATCAACTGATCTCATTAAGAACTTTGTTCGTGCAAAGTTTGAAGTCGAAACTCAGTCCAAAAAATCAAACCATTCTAGACCTTTCTATTATTCTCTAGCATTCATCAAATGAATATTGTCTTGGTCAGAAAGCGATTCGACAGTTGAAGAGGTTTTCTCGTCATATGCAATCAGTATCAAAACCACAAAAAAGAATTGTTTATGCCTTGATTTTTCTCATTTATACGATCTACAAAATTAAATTTTTTATCCGTCAAAGCGTAACATATACTATGACAAGTAATAGTAGAATAAGCCAGTTTTCTTTTTCAATGAACGTCTGATAATCTAAGTATGACTAGATAATATCAAATACGCATTTTAAAAACTTCATAGTATCATAATTTTCTTCAGGTGACTTTTTTTTTATTAACATAGAAAATATTGAGTGACAGTTATCAGAAATAATACGATGTGATTTTATGGAAAAGAAATAGAAGATAAGAGTTTTTTTTGGATATAATTGATAGAAAAATTCCAAAATATTGCGTACTTTCCATGTAATAATTATAGAAATCAAAGGATAGAATAAGAAGACAAAAATTAAATATTTTATTTTAACACACTGATTGAATCTGTTGAAAAGTTCATCTGTCAACATTGCATATAGAAGTCTACGAATACTATCATAATTCAAATACGAAAAAAACTATTCGAAGAATAACTATTCTTCTAATGTGCTGTCTATTATCACTCATTCAATATATAAAATATAAACAAAAACAGTACCTAACATCAATTAGTATTTCTTCATGACTTAGCACATATTTATGACAAACTCAAAATAGGATTTCTTTTCTTTTATATTAAATAGTACAACAGGAATTATACTTTTTTTTATCAGAAAGAAAATAATCCACTCCTTCCATCACAGTGGATTAAACGATAAAATACTTAAGCATAATAGTTGCAGGAATACATTCGATGAATCAAAATAAAGTGGAGACAAGATATCATCTATGTCATGTACTAAGTATAACAATGTCTAATTATCACGTACAAGCAGCGGCGTAGTCGACTATGGATCATTGGACAATTACTACCCACCGACCAAAAAATTATGGTCCACGAATTTCTTGTACTGGTAACAATTACTCAATGGTTCAATAGTAATTAACTACCGATTTTGTCTAAGGTGATTACAGCTGTCTGCTAGAGTTCTGTGATTCCGATTACTAAAAAAAAAGTGACTCCGTTTCGATTCCTAAAATATGATGTAGAACTAAAATCCTTAAATCATCGGATAGATACGAAAATTTTAAATTTATTTTGAGAAATTTTCACTATTGAATTGTTGACGTTAAAGATGTCACATATTTCGCTATTTAAATAAAACCATATTATACATATATACTAAAATCTTTCGTTTCAAGAATGAAAAAAAATGAAGATTTCTCGACATATATTTAAGAATTTTTGTGTCTATTTGATGATTTAACGGTTTCGGTTCGGTTGTAGGTTTTTTTTGGAACCTACTGGATTTTATTGATCGCACTTCCAAATAAAAAACCTCAAGATGAAAACTTCGCTGTTGTTTTTCTTTTATTATAAATGTGTAACACATACATATGCTGATAAAACAAATCAATCGTTTTAGAGAACAAATAATTGAAAGAAATAATTTCCATCTGTAACAAAAGTTCACGTTATCATTTGATAGTCAACAAAGAGTTGATTATAGCTGAAGTAGTTAGAGTTCTTTTACGATTTCATTCGGCAGATACAATGAATAACATTCCGTTTCTTGATGTAAATATATTTTCTATCATTGATTGACCATGAATACAAAAACATTAGGTTAGAAATACTTCCATTGATACTAAAGACGATAGAAGTAACATTTTAACATTTTCTTTTACTTTAGATTTTTACTAGACCCATGATATTCAGTCTAAAATTTACTCTATATTTTCTTTATATTACCTTTGTACATATTGTTACGTAAGAAGATCAAAATAAGTATACCGAACAATTTTCAAATTGCTAAGAAAAAGAAGAAAAAAGTATAACAAAAGAATGTTTCACTACATGTGATCTTATTAATCGAGTGGTTGTTTGTTTTATGTTTTGCATCAATTAGATGAAAAAAAAAGAGAAAACAAAAAAACGAAATTCATTCGTTTAGTAATCGTAGCATAAGATGCCAAAAGAAAAACGTCACAAGAAAAAACATCACAATAGTACAACAAATGAGAATGAAAAGATAAATGAACAATCGAAAAGCCAATTATTCAGTGAAACAGATGCAAATTCTGTCGAAGTCTCTGGTTATATAATGGATCGTGGAGCACCTCAAATCAATCAATTAATGAAAGGACGTACAATACCAACAGGTGTTGGTAAGTCATGTATTAAATGAATTTTGTATATTATTTATAGGCGTATGTCTGTAAATAATAATAGTTGATATTGACAAATCTGTACAACTTCCAAAATCATCTTCGAAATCTCGTCATCGACATAATCATTCAAAACCACATACTGTTCTTCAATCCAGTGAAAATCATCACAAAGAACATGTTCATTTACCACCAATTAGTGATCCTTCTCATCACCATCATAATCATCGTTATCCACCACCTGATTATGATTATTTTGGTTATTTGTCTCATTCTAATCTAGTTGATCCTGAACATGAGTCGCATCATCATCATCATTTTGGAGATTTGTCTTATCCTAATCCAGGTGATCATGAACATAAGTCATCTCATCATCATCATCATCATCAACATAAACATCATCATCGACATCATCATCATAAGCATGAAAAAGAAGTGGAAACATATGATCCTCGTTGGTGGTATCTGCCAATCAATTCGGTTCATGCACCGAAACCATGGCGACCTCCGGAATATCATTATGTAGCACCAAAATGGTATGAATCACCTAGCAAAGACAGTAGAATATCGATTAATACTGAAGAATCAATATTACCTCCTCGAAAATATACCGACTGTCGATGTGAAGTATGCAAACCATCGAAAGATACGTCGCGTGGTATTAGATGGGTTGTCAATGAATAATATCTCGCTTATGGATGATTACGAAGAAAAAGCAAAGAAGTAGAAATATACGAAAGTTTTTTTTACCTGAAATGTTGTTGTTGTTGTTATTATTCTTGCGAGTGTTATTCAAACACGACAAGAACATTTAAATGGTTTTGACGTTTTGTTTTCTTTTTTCTGTCTCTGGTAGAAAAAGAAATGAAATCTGATTAAAAAAAAACAGGATTATTTTTAAAGTGAACTATTCAGAATTATTCAAAATCTGCTAGTAAATCACTTTTAACAAGTGCTTTTTTTTTTTATTCAAAACGTATAATTCATCAATATCTTTGTATACTCTGTTAATATAGTTATTAATAATATAATATTTATCGGTCGTATTTGTCCTGTTTCTGCATTACCAAATGATGTTTCTTCAAAAATCATTAAAAAAAAAGATAATTTTATTGCTCATATGTTAACAATATTCAGTAGACTCTTCCGATTAAATCTAGTACTTTAAAATCTAAAGAACCAATCCCCAATCTACTTTTCTAACTGTTCTTGTCGAATAAAAAGTAGTTTTCAATTGAATCTAGTTCTTACTCTTAAAACTGTTTCGATTACTATATGATTCCTATTCACTTTGCTCATATTATCTGTTTTTTTACAGCGCACTTCTTCGGTTGATACCTAGGATGTAAGACATAGATATCAGGTTATTGCAATAAGAACAATCAACATAAATCGACGTCATTTCTTCATAGCAAAAATCTACTGTGCTAGATCGTTTGAAGGTAGATCATTCTATTGTGAAATAATGCGCATCTTTATCAATAAGGATGATGACAATCCCTAATATATATATATACAACCTTTAGTATCATCATTAGAACAACAATAATATCTTTTTTATTCGTATCGATAATATACTTATTCATTCATGATTCTTTATACTTACAAAAATTAACTTAGCTATTTCTGCGTTATATAGAAACTGAAATATGTGATAATCAAACTGCTCAACTTTTTATAAAGAGTTAAACAGTATCTTCAGCACATTTCTCACGAGAGAAATGTCCGAAAAACTGACATCTGTCGTTTGAGTTCATATTACGTCCACAAGGAGGTTTAGATAAGACTAGGAAAATCAGAAAAGGATTCGCGGCCATGGATCTTCCTGGAGCCGGGTTGTGATAGGTTTGCGCAATTTTCGATCCAGCTTATGGTATTTACTGAGAAATCAAATATTTCGATCTAAAATTTTGCCCATAAACAGGTGGAATGACTAGTAGAATATCCTGAAAGTTTCAGCTGAAAAGAATACTCTTTCGTCGAGATATTGAATTTTCAAATAGACTTCATTGTTGTGGCGTATTTGTAGCCGACGATCATTTTTTTAGAAATTCAATATCTCGACAAAGGAAAATTCTTTTCGACTGAAACTTTCAGGATATTCTTAGAGTCATCAGATCTGTCTATGGGCAAAATTTCACATCGAAATTCTGCTATTTGGTTTTTCGGGGCATACTCTAAAGCCAAATCGAAAATTCAGTAAAACGGTCATAATTCAACTTCAAAGACTCATGGGCACGAATCCTTTTAAGATTTTTCTAGTCTTATCGAGACCGCTTTGTGAATCTCATACGAGCTGAAACAACGGGCACCAGTTCAGGTAGTTCCCTCGGATCAATAACACCTATGGATTATGAATGTTTCTCTGTATGTATGCTATAAAACAGCAATACGTACTGATCGATACAATATATCAATCAGAAGACTAAATAACAATTTTAATGATGAAAAATCTATCGATGATTTAATTAATAATCATTATTTGTCTTTTGAACACGAGTTTTTTTTTAGGATATTCGATTATTATCTTAAATGAGAGAAAAAAATGTCCCAGTGACTTTTTTAATATTTTATACGATAATCTCTTTTGACATGTATTTGAATAAAGATAAAACATACTCTTCGAAGATTTTACTCAACTAGTTAATGAATAAACACACAGCGCCAAATGGCATCTGATGTCAATTTTCAAGGCGAATATATAAAACTTTCTTCTGCAATGTCGTCATCATCATCTAAAACAATCATCAATAAATTTACATCACCAACTTCGCCATTACAACCTATATATCAAGTTGATTCCATGATTAATATTGTTGGAGAATCAAATAATGGTGGAATATTTTTATTCGAGAGTGAACGTCATCTTGTATATACTAATAAATATACATGTACATTGTACACTGTATGTATTTTTGGTTGTTGGATATGTACTATTCCATCAATTGTTGTTACTATATTAGCTCGAATAGCTGCTCAAAAAAATCAAATATCTCGAGCTAAAGTGATGTTTAATATTGCATTCATTTTTTCATTCTTTGGTTTAATATTATTTGCTGTACAAGCAGGTTATTTAACATGGCTTATACGTTATCTCTTACATAGATTTCTCACTTAATAAAATATATATTTGAAAAATTCCGTGATAGAACAAATTTTCACCATTATTGTTTCTTACTTTTTTTGAATATAATCAACTAGTTTCAATGTTGATTTGATTTTGAGATCATAATGTTTGATCAAGATTTAATAATATTACTCAACTTCTTACGTTAAAAGAAATATATGAATTTTATTTTGACCTAAATAAGTCTCAGTTAAAACTCGATCGAATTACTTAATTCAAATTCAAATTCAAAAATCAAAAAAAGAGCTTATCATATAATTACTGGTATCAAAATAAAAATTGATCTTTCCTTAGTTTGTATGACAAATTAGCGATGATAGACAAAAATTTTTTATTCACACAATAAAATTGATATAAACAAATATTTTCAAGAATATTCGAACAAAAAGTATCTAAATCAAATGTTTCTGAAACTAATAAAGTTCTCAAAGTAGATATTTATTTTTCTGAACCGCATATAAAGGACGTAAGTCAAACTATGAACCCAATGTATCAAAAAAAACTAATCCTACTTTTATTAGTCTGAGAATCAGTATTGACTCCTGATTACAGTTTCGTAGGGTGTACCAGCGAGATATTGTCATCCAATATGGAATTTAATGTGCTCTTTTTAGATGACACTATTTTAAACTTGAAATTCAATGTCTAGTAAAGCAATTTTGCTCTAATCACTATATTCAAGAGCTAATTTATGTCCGTCTTGACTTATATTTGCCGATTTTCGAACACAATAATATCCGTTCGACTTCAAACAAATATAATATTTGGAATCAGCACAAAAAAAGTGGAGGCGACATATGCGTGTTTTATATTAGTTTTACGGCTTTTTTCTCGGTTAAACTTTGACGTCAGAGCCTCCCTCAAGGATATGTTGAAAAATGAATTTTATTAAAACGATCATTTGAATATTTAGAAACCTCTGCTATTGTCTTCAAATGGCATTTTACAAGTTCAGAACTTTGTTTTCTGACATATTCTTGAGGAGGACTAGGGGGTCAAAATTTGACCGAGAAAAAAGTCGTAGAAACAATACAAAACACGCATATATTGACTCAGGTTTTTCCACTAATTCTAAATATGACATTTGTTTCAAGTCAAATGGATATTTCTGTGTTCGTAAACCGGAAAATATAAGTCAAAAAGAATACAAATCGTGTCTCAAATATAGTGATTGGAACAAAATCGCTTTACTAGACATTGAGTTTCAAGTTTAAAATAGTGTCATCAGAAAGAGCACATTAAATTCCATGTTCGGTAAAAAAAACTCTCGCTGTTGCACCAATAGAAACTGTAGCTTCATAAGACTGAAAAAAAAATTATTATTTGTAACAATTTGAGCTAATCAGGACGGTATTTGACATTTATCGATGGAAAAAGTTTTGAATATTTTTATTCTCCCAATAAAAATTGAGTTACACATGAATGGACAATATTTTCATCTCATTCTGTCGTTTATATGTATATTCATGAGTAACAGTATGTATCAAGCTGTTATACTTAGCGATAAATGCTAAACTATAGCCATTACTGTGATAAATCAACAGCTTTTGAAATAAATGTTATTTTCTAGAATAGAGGATTTCCGAAAAATTGACATTACATCGTGAAAACTCATCATAAAATCAATAGACTATAGTGTGTGCGATAGCAGACACTTTGCTTTATCTAATGCGCTATGAATCGAAAAGTCGAAAAATTTGACGAAAATTGACATTTTAGGGTGGTGGAGAGCCTTACAAGATAAACTTTATTTTAACTATTATTTAAATCATCGACGACACATATTTGATTAGTATCTTTTATAAAAATTGATTTTGTAATATAAATTATAAGTAAAATAGTCATCGAGGGAAATTTTTCTTTTTGAAAAAAATAGTTTGTTAATGTTGTCAATCAAAGTTCTATCTTAATTGATTTAAGTGATAATCATCATAGAATAAAAATAATATTTTATTGATTAAATAATTTGACATAAAATTAAATGAAAATAAACTTATCCATCTTCGAAATTATTATTTTTATTATTCTTTAGTTTTTGTTTCATTAAATATAAATAACAAAAGAATTATTGTTTTTTTCAAATAAATTAATTTCTTGATTGATATTGAGTTTAAATGATTTCAATATAAAATAGAGAAAAACGAAATAAATTCATTTGTTAAATCCGTGTAAAACTAAAAATATTTTATTCTTTTTGTCATAAAATAAATGTTTGATACCATATTGATTCATATAGGCCCATGACAAATAAATTTTATCCTGTTTTACTTTTCGCCTCTCGGCTAAACTGACTTACATACATTTTACTTCTTTCAGTTCCATTAGTCATTCTACTCCCTTTACTCCTTTTATTGCCTTTAATCTCTTTAGTCCCTTTAGACTAAAGGGATAGCTTAAAGGACTAAAAGTGAAACGGGATAAATTTTATTTTTCGTAGATCCCTATTGATTCAGGTGTAAAACAAATCTAATTCGGATTAATCTTTGAAAAGAAATATCAAGAAGAGTTAGTTATTTGATCTTTTGTTTTTTCTTTAGATATTTGAAAAGATCTTTTTCAAATAGAAAAGAAAAAAATTTCATTTAAAAATGAATTTTTTATTTTTGAAATAAAATCAATCATTGATTTTTTTCTTATATTAAACCACTTTCTCTTTATTATTCATCATTTAATATAATATAATAGATAAATAAATAAAAATATCTCATTCAGTTAGTTGTTTTTATTTAAAAAGAACTTGACATATGAAATTAAATAAAATATGAAAACAACACGTTAAGAGATAAGACAACAGGATAATTTGGGTTTGTGAATTTTTTTTCGATAATTATTTACTTTGATTGGATAAGTTTTTGAATTTAATTCATAAAGATGACGTCTTTGAGGAATATGTAGAAATGGTTGTGTATTATACGGTTGTGGTATTTTTGGAGGAAGAGGAACAAGAGATGAAGGTGCATCATCATATCCATCAATGCGTATCAAAGGAATTGATGGAGCATAAGATTTTTTATAATTATGAAATTTTTCATTTGTTGAGCAAAGTGCAGGTGGAGCTGAACCAATTGGAATTTCAATTAAACGAAATGGTAGATCTTGAGATTCAACAAAATTTTTATCGTTACCCATTTAATAACTTACAAAATGATAAATTTTTTTTTATTTTTCAGTAAGCAATTTGATTGCAACACGTACTAATTGATAAGAATCCATCACGGTTTTTTTTTTCTTTTATCAGTTCTATTTCATTTGGAACCTTTCCTCTCTTTCTTCTCTTTCTTCTCTTTCTTCCTATTTACACTATTATTCATTACAATTTCGTTTTTTTTTCTTTCTTTTCTTTTCTTTTCTATATTCAATCATCAGAATTTTTCTTATTGACATTCCTCTCAATTATTTCGAATTCTATTTGACATCTTACTCAAAATTATTTTCATTAACCGTCTTTGGTGCCGGGCGTAGTATATATACCACTTCGAGTATTTGTCAAAATTCGGAGATGGTATATATACCAAATCAGTCAAAAATGAGTGGAAATAGTCTATAGAGTGATTTTCCTTTATTGATACAGAATATTATCAGTATTTCGAAAGTATCGAAAATATATACACATAATGTATTTAGTATTTTTCAATATTACACAATGGATTTTCTCCTTGTGTTGTCATACATTCCTTATTGGAATTCTCCATATACATTCTAATATGTCTACTTTGATACTTTTCCTATTCTCCTATATACATAGATATGTGTGTGTTCATGTTCTCCTCTCGGTCTTCACTTTCATTCTTTTCTTCTTTATACAGTTGAAAGAGTTTCGTCTTCAAATGATAAAAAGTATTCTATCAAAATATGACAATCCAAAACGAATTTCTATTGGGAGGCCATCAACTGATTGATTACTACGTTTATCTGCTAGACATTTTCCATCACTTGTACTCTCAACTGTCACAAAAAAAAGCTGCCCAAAAGAAATGTCATATATGCTCTCATGCAACAAAACGCGAAAAGTCAGTCACATATACAAAATATCAATATGAGATTTGATTAAATTTTTCTTTATTAAATCATATCCTTCTTTTATCATAATAAAATGGCTTACCCGAATTTCGCCAATAAGACTTTCGCCAACCGGACATTCGCCAGTGGCGAAAGTCCACTGTACTTTCGCCAACACACTACCTGGACTCTCACCAATTGGCGAATGTCCACTGTACTTTCATCAATACATCCTCCGGAATTTCGCCAGTTGGCGAGAGTCCACCGGACTTTTGTCAATGTATCTTCGGACTCTCGCCAATTGGCGAATGTCCACTGCACTTTCGGTAGTGTGTAAGCATCGTATGTCAGTCAAAGGCACACTAGTATAAAGTATATATATATATATATTATATAATAGAAAGAAGAAAAGAGTTATCCTTTGCCAAATTTACACAACACGTCTGCTGCTATTCGGCAGATGTCCCTCGCTACTTATACGAGAAGATCAACTTAAATTCAGAATAAGGTCGGAGTGTATCATCATCGAAACTAACAGAGGGTAGCTTACGCGTGAATTACAAAGATCTTCATCGTCTACATTAATTACTGAAAACAATGAGATGTATTCTGACGCCCTCAGTCCTCACATGTGCCCTTGATTTATATTCTTCTGTGAAGATTGGCGAAATTCCATCGAACTTTTGTTGATACTTCTTCCAGGACTCTCGCCAATTGACGAAAATCCACTGTACTTTCGCCATTACACTTCCTGGACTCTCGCCAATTGGCGAAAATCCGGTGGACATTCGCCAATTGGCGAAAATCTGGTGGATATTCGTCAATATATCCCTGGACTTTCGCCATCGGCGAATGTCCAGTTGGCGAAAGTCTTATTGGCGAAATTCAGGAACCCCAATAAAATCCTAATACGATAATATAGCATTCAAAAAAAATTCGTAGTCTGTGACCTAGAGAAAGTCATTTTAATTAAATTTCATTATCATATTCCTATCCGTTCCAAAACCTTTGCTTGACTATACATTTGTATTGGTATGATCTACTACATCAATCAGTAACATCTTTTCTCAATATCAGTATCCAATTACCGAAAAACTTTCAACCGTACTTTATGATTTATTTTTATTAACGTAATACATATCGATCACCTTGTAGAGTATTTGAATAATGTAATGGATTAGAGTGATTTAGGAGATAATCTGTATATTTAAAATAAAGTAATTTTTTTTATCATTGCAATAAACTATGATCTATTTTAGTGGTATGACTCTAAATATCAAGAATGTGTACACTAAAGAATGATGACTAAATTTAGTTAGAAATAGTATTGCTAGTGGCTCTTCATATTGTCGTTGTTTATATATTGTGCAAATAGTGGATAACACATATGCATCAAGAAATGGATCAATCGTTTCAGATTAAAATGAATTATATCTATATATAATATCTTTTCATATGGAATTTATTTGTCAAAATTCATTTTTAGCTGCAAGGCACAATTCATTCTAATATATTACATGGTCAATCAAAAGAAGGAAAACCAATCGATGTTGATCATTTGATCTTTTCATCTTAATTTTAAATCCATATTTTAATTAATTAATTTCAACAAAACTCAAATTTTGTATAGTCAAATTTATAAGTTCAATAACTAACGGTGTTTTAAATTTTAGTCATGTTATTTTATGCAATCATCTGATCGATGAATCTAAATCGGATTTTAATGAACTTTCAGATCAAAAGTCATTGTTTAGGGCTGTAGAAAAGTACTTCAGATCTTTGTTATTTTCTGAGTACTTTTGAAAAAGAGTGTGATATTATTAATCAGCACAGTTAGCTCTATCGAACTATAAAGATCTTTAATGGAACAGCGATAAAAGATATGTTTTGATATCTCAGGAGAAACGCAAGTGTGAAAAATTCAGCTATGATAAAATACAAAAATAAACTTGTGAAGAATAATTGCCGTTCAATGCTGATTCTCAGGCTAATAAAATTAGATCAGCTTTTTTGGTAGATCAAATTCATAATTTGATACACTTCCGTTCATGGTCTTATTAGAATATGCCATAATTATTGTCATATAGATTGAACATATAATACAAAAATAAATATTTCTATCTGTCGATATTTTAAAAACAACCACATAATACTGATTTCTGTAAATTTTTCCTTTCGTAAGAAATCATTTTAATTTTTATATGAATGTTGTTTAGTCACTAAATTTATTTGAAATGAAACAAGCAGAATTCTTTAATATGATCTGCTAGTTTAAGATATACGTTCTCAATAAAAAAAATAATTTAGATATATGTAGTGATTCTTTTTCTTCTTTTTGATAATAAAATATATTCTCTACATTATTTAGTAATTATTAGAAAATAATGTCAAAAAAACAAAAGATATTATTCAATCCGTGCAATCGATATTCAATATATTCCTTAATCAACTAATAAGAAACGCGATCAGCTAACAAATTTATCTTTGTTCTTCATTTCTTTGATATTATTGATCAAACTAGAAAATCCTTTTTTTTGTTCATGTATCATAGTGTGACTAGACGTATTTGTCAACATAGCGTGACAATAGAATCTGAAAGATGTAGATTAATAAAGAAAAAACGTATACAAGAAATAAGAATGTCTCCAAAATGATATTCATCATTATTTTTTTTTTGCATCCACATTAACATGAACAAAACCACTCGAATGAAATTACTTGTCACAGGATCCTAATTTTCTCAATAAATAGTCAATTATATAATTATATTCATGATAAAATATGTTGTAATCATCGAAAATTGTCTATAATTATGATATGATTATCAAAGGATGTGAATGAAGAGAAGACGTCATTAGTAATCATATCCACATATCTTTTCATTCATAATAAATTCGGTGATAAAAAAATTCTCATTTCTTGTATCTATACATTCATGACTTTATATTATCGATAAATCAGCAAATAATTCACTAGTGAATAGAAAAAAACACGACTTTATCATATTGGATCCATAACTCAATGAATACTTCAGCAGAAACATAACTAATCAACTCTCAATTCATATACAATTTTTCGTTAACACTTGATTGCTTTTTTCTTTTATTTTTTATTTTTTATGCGACAAAACAATAAAAAAGAAATTATGAACCGATCTAGAATTTTAGATGGTCGAATAATTTTAATATGTTCCGATCTTTTATTTATTACTTCAATTGAAATTTGTTGATCGAGTAGACGAAAAGAAAAATCGTAGGAATTTAAAATAGAAGAGATAGAGAAAAAAAACATGTCAGTGAATAAGTGTGGTAAAGAATACACACCGAAATTCACAAGTTATTGTATAAACTTGATATTAGGAAAGAGAAAAAAAAGAAATATTTAGTATTTATTTGTTTGATTTTTCTTAACTTGTTTGTCTACGTTTTCGTCTACCCATAAGTAACATACGATTGCGTACACAATCAGCATATTCTTGACCACGGCCAGTAGCTGGCATTCGATTGCATGGTTTTAATATTTCTTCAAAATCGGCCGTTTTCTTGAATATAAAATGATCATTATTATGGGGTTCATTTTTATAAATAGGAGAACGAAATAATTGTCGACTTTGACGATTTGAATCATCATATAGATCGTATTCATTGTTAACATGATCCATCATTTCTTGGATTTCTTGATTTGATGTAGATAAAACCAATAATGGAATGACCAAAGCAATGCATATGCAAAACAAAATCGTATTTGGAATATTCATATTTAGGAATTGTTTTCGTTTCCTTTTTAAATACAAACGTTATCTAAAATAATCAAATGTAAAACAAAAAAAAAAAACAAGTCGCGAATGTATTGCAATTATTCCTAAGTTCAATAGACTATTATCGATTCTGTTGAACTACTCAGTGAGATTCCTTTGTAGTTCAACAAGATAAGACCTTTCTATTCTTTTTATCTCAATCGTTAATTCAAAACTATAGTAATAAAATACAGAGTACTATCGACAGGAGAGCAAGAGACGTATACAATACAATAAAACTCAAGAATTCAATCGTTGTCATCATCCGCTGTGGACCCGTCGGCAAGAATATAAAAGCTATTCAATGATCTCTACAGATAAGAGTCTAACATCGTTTCTCTTCTACTCTACATGTTTATATGAACCGAAGTCACACACCCATACATAAATAATCACCACAACAACATAGATCAAGTATGAACTTGAAGAAAAAATATTTATAAGTGATGACGTAGATGACAAAAGTGCCAAAAGAAAATTATGATTAATTCTCTACGGTGCATGTTAGTAATACATTAGAGAAAAAAACACTAAATAGAAAGGTAACGTCATTAATATTGTACTAAGGCTCTTGTATATTGATATTTTCTTTTAAACAAAAGATAAACAATCATCTTTTTGATACCTTACTTGTTCTTCAAAAAATATTGAGAATAAAATAGTATAAAGGTTTTCATCATTGTTAATTTATTTTAGAATTTGTCTCATCTGAAATCATTTCACTGTTCTTATTCATTTAATAGTCTAATAGTTGCAAATGGTAAACAAGAAAGACTATACCATGTAATGCCGTCGTTCATAGAATATGATGAGTTAGCTCGAGGCATGCAAAGAAAAGAAAAGTGTTTGTCACGAACCATTTACTTTACTGCAGAATTTTTGTAATCCTATATATTTATAGATCCAAGAAAAATATAACAAAATAATAGAGAGAGAGAGAGAGAGAGAGAGAGAGAGAAAAGAACTAGACCAAAGAAAAAAATGAACAAGTTTTCGACGGTTCAATTAATGCATATTGTAAGCGATGTCTAAATTGGTAAACTAGAAATAGATCTAAAGCGAATGAAAGAAAGGAAATGAGTTCGACATCGTGAATTTCAGTAGTTGTATTATTGTCGCTGAAGAACATTTCCGGTATTGTATTGGTGAATGTCAGCTAGTTGATTAAATATAAGTTGAATTAGTTGAATACGTGTTTGATTATCTAGTTCGTTGTTAATAGAAAAATAAAAATATTGTTCATATTCTCGTGCATATGTTGTTAATGTTTCAACTATTAAACCACCTTGAGATTTATGTTCACTACATGTCCAAATAACAATTGTTTGGTAATCAGGAATATCAGTTGTATTACTTAATTTCCATGTACGATTAAATCGAAATTCATTTGGTAGAATCGAAGATATTTCTGCTAATCGATTTGATGGATATGTTGGTAATTGATTTAATATAAATTCTGAACCACCAATTACTGTAGGAATTTTTATAGTTGTTGATTTATTTCGTTGTAAACGTTCTATTGTCTCAAGTGCCAATAGACCAGATGCTGTATGATGACCATGTGATTCTATACTTGGTAGCATAATAAGCATTATATCATAACCATGAGTACTATTACCAGTTTTTATTACTTGTTCAAGTAATTGAATGATTATTTCTTTATTCCATAGTTCAGCAAAAACAATATCAACATTTCGATCATATTTTAAATCTGATTGATCAAAGAAAAAAAATTTTCGAATTCCTAATATTTTTCCACTAGCTAATAATTCTTGTTTACGTATACGTGGTAAATGTTGTCTACCAATATTTTCATTTGATAACTGTAGATTATCATATAAGTATTCAGATGGTGCAGAATATCTAAAACCACCTTCACCATTAGTTATACAAACAAGATCAACATTAGCTTTAATTTTATGTACTAATGAATGAATAAAACCAGCAAAAATAGTTTCATCATCAGGATGTGCAATGACAACTAATACAGCTAATATAGAATTCATGATACAGTGCAATTTTGTCTTATCGTCTGTCAAAATATTTATAATATTTACTGAAAAGATTAGATATAAAAGCATATCATATACATGTTTGTCTTTTTTTTTTTGTTCTGATCAGACAGAACTACAGAGAAACAAATATAAAATAATTTTTTTAAATAAAGTAAAAGAAAAATGCTATTTTTATTGTGCACTTTGCATGATTGAATGTTCGATAGCCATATTAAGTGCATCACGTGCACAGTCATAAATAAATCGATATTGTTGTTCAGTTTGAATAAGACCACAACGTTGACGTCGACATTCTTTAGCCATTGGATAAATATCTACTGTTATTCCACGTATTATTCTAATTAAAAGTAAACTTATTAATAATGTACATCCTGTTCGTCCAACGCCTGTATTACAATGAATCAATAATGGTGTATCACTTGTTTGATATGAATGTGCTAAATGTATAAGACTAAGAAATGATTGTGTATCATGTGGAATATTATCATCCATAGGCCATTTCGTATATGTTAAAAATATAACTGAATGTTCATGTTTCTCATGTGATTGTTCATTAGTACGAATACGAAATTCTTTTATATCAATACCGCCATTGAATTGACGATGTTTGATTAGTGTTAAAGATAAACTAAAACCAGAAGAAGAATATTTTTATTGACATAGAAAAAGAATTTATTCTCTTACAATGGTGAAAGTGTCATTGTTGCTTTCATAGTTGTTGGCCAATAAGCAGGACATTTCATTTTTTTTAAATCTTGTTCATTAAATATTCCAATGATAGATTTAACACGTTGTTCGACAATCATTTGCCAAAAATCATCTAATACATAAGAAAAAAAAAACTATTTTTTATTTAAAAAAAAGAAAAGAATAAAATAAATTCTACGGACTGATACTATCAGGTACTGGTGGTGGGGAAATAATATATTTCATTGATTTATCTCCAAATGGTATTGCTATATGACTTGCATTAATATAATCTGGTTTTGTTGAAAGTATAATACGATTAAAATCATATGGAACTATATTTTGAAAACGATTTAATGTTTTATTTTCAGGTTGCATTGGTATAGAAGTTAATTCAATTGGTTCATGTTCATTAATAGTTTTTAATGCCTAAAGAAAAAAATCTTTTTTTTTGTGTATAATATTAAAAAAAATATCTACTCGAAATTCTTCTAAATATTCATCCGCATCAATTTTCATGTCAATTTCACGATATTCATCCATTAGTGTTGTTGTATCCATTGTTATAGCTGGTGTACTAATTTTATCAATTAATTGCATAGTTAAATCTTCAATTTTTTCAGCAACACCAGCATTAAGTATTAATGTTTCATTTGATGCAGCTTGCTAAGAAGAATTTTAATGAAATTTATTAAAATTGAATTCAATCAATTTACTTACTTGATAATATTGTTTTCGTTTAGCAATTTCATTTGATTGAGATGCTACAAAAAAAAAATAATATTTTTGAAATTGATTGATAAGAAATTATTATGTTTACTTACTTGATAATGATTTTGAATTTGTTGGTGGTAGTTTTAATTCAAGAACTGTTGGTAACGGTGCTACAGGTGATTGAGGACTCATTAATGGTGTTGTTATATCACTTGTATCTTCATCAATATCTGTATATGAAACTGGAGAATCTTTTTTCTTATCGTTAGTTAATTGATTTTCATCTGCTATTGTTTCGAAATTAGTTGATGGTAATGGTTGAACTTTTTTACCAATAAGAGCTTGTAATGCAGAATTTGGTGGTAAAGATGATGGTGCATCAACAGAAGCTACAACAGCTCCCGTTGTAGATGATGATGATGTTGATATGTCAATAGAATCAGGTGCAAAAGTAGTAGTAGTAGCAGCTGGTGCTTGTGGTTTTTCAGTATTTGTTAAAGGAAGTAATTTTGGTTTTTCACGTGGTATTAATTTTTCAATAACTGATGAAGCAATAGCTGATGATGTTGCTGCAGGTATTGAGGTTTCATAATGTATCTAAAATATTTAAATCGATATTTTTTTTTAGAAATGGTGTAAATCTTGTATAATCTACAAATAAAATATATATTGTTAATTCATTTACCATTGAAATTTCTTTGTTTGAAATGATATTTGCTTTATTCGATGTCGAAGAATCTACTATTGGTCTAAATTAAATATATAATTAAATGTTTCAATGATAAATGATAATAATAATATAGAAAATAAAATACCTAGCAATTATCAAATTAACACCTTTCTTTGTCGTTGCTTTTAATGTTTCGACAACTTCACGATAAGTCATTTGATTAATATTACGCTCATTAATATATAATAATTGATCATCAATTTGTAAACGTCCATCTTTTGCAGCAATTCCATTTGGTTGAAGAGCACATATAAATATACCACCAAATAGTTGTTCAGGATCGATTTGACTAAGTCCAATACCATATGTTCCTTGAGAAGCTTTTGGCAATGATATTTCTATTTTTTCATATTGCTAAAAATACATCATCATTAAATTGATTGTATGACATAGAAAATAATATAAAATATCTCACCACTGGTTGATTAAACAATTCAGATTTATTAGATTTAATAGGCATGACAGGTGATGGTGGAGCTGAAATACTTGTTACAGATTGATCCTACAAATACATATCATATAATACTTATTCTGTTGATCTCTAATCAAACGAAAACACACACGCACACACAGTCGTATTGTTAAGTAGCGTTAATCTGTATAAGAAAGTGTAGTGAAAATAGAGGAAAAAAAACAGAAAAAGGAGTTTTTCTTTTTTTTTAAACATATGCGAAAGTGCTCACAAAAGAGAATAGAGAGTGAAAAGTAACACTCTCTAACTCACGCCAACGCTTATTGATGTATATGATGTATTTTGTAATTGTCGACTTTTTTCTTTTGCATGTACAATTTCATCAATACGTGGTCGATAAATAATAAAATGTACAGGACCTGTTGGTGCATAACGAAGATGTGCAACAAGATCACGATGTGTTATTGTTTGACAATCTGAATCATTTATTGCTAAAATACGATCCCAATGTTTTAATCCAGCTGATAGAGCAGGTTCACGTAATACCGATCGAATATGTGGATATCCAATCGATGTCGAGCCTGCTGATAATGTAAAACCAAAACCACTATCTTTTTCTTTGTTCATTATCACGGCAAACACCTAATGTGCGTTTGAAAAAGCGTTTCAATTATTGCAAGACAGTTAGAATCATTGAAAAAAAAGGGAACAAATAATTGAGAAATATAAGCTATTTTTTTAAGAGTAATCATACACTGAATCTCTTTTTTTTCTTAAAAGCATCTTTTCAGTGTTGACACTCTCAAATTTTATTTGCCAAGTATATGTTAATATTCAAGATAGATCTTTACCTCACCGCGTTTAATTTTTGTTGGCACTTTTGGCATAACACGTCTACTACCAGGTGATTTTGGTGGTAAATCACGAAGTGGTTCATTTGGAAGTCGAGTTTGTTCATTATTCATTGATCCAGGTATAGTTTGTCGACCTGACTGATTAAGACTATTCATTTGATGATCCTAATTGAATACAAACAAAAATTAATTTTTTTATTATTTTAATAAACAAGAAAGAAAGAATATAAACCATATAAGCTTGATATTCTTGACGATCGGGTCGACAAACAACAAGTTTAACATTATCTGGTGATTCAGCAATTATCGGTGGTATATCCTAGAAAAATATCTTTTTTTTTATCCTTATAATTATTAATTAAATAAACATACTCGAACATTTCGATTATGCATAGTAACATCATTAATTGATAAAACAATATCACCAATATTTAATTGACCTGATAAAGCAGCTGGTTGATTTGGATAAATATCAATAATTTCAACAGGTCTATTTTCAGCTACTCCACCTGATAAACTAAGACCTAAACCAGTAGGACCACGATTTAGATAAACTTCAAATGTATTCTCTATAATAATTATAACATACATATATAATAGGTTTAATTATCAATTAAAATTTTCTACCTGAACGAGCAAATGGATACATTTTATTTGTTGATGATAAACGTAAATTATGTGGAAAAATAAGACGTTGAACAAGTAAATGACATTTAGGTCCTGTTGCTCGACGAAATAATTCCACAGCTTCAGCATGTGTTACACGTGCTAATGAAGCACCATTTACTTCAAGAATTTTATCACCTAAGAAACAGAAAAATGTCTTATTCAATAACAAGAAAGAAAATAGTTAACCTTCTATTAATAATTTTGATTTCGAAGCAGCACCACCCGGTGTTATACTCTTAACATAAATTCCATGATCTTCAATTTCTGAATCAAGACCACCCTTGAAAAAAAAAATCATATTTTGACTTTTTTTTTTCTCTAATCAACTAAAATATTGATTACATACAACAACAAGAAAACCAAGACTATTATGACCCGATTTATCAATAGTTACAGGAAATACAGCACTTTTTATATCATGTGTAGTTGAAAGATCGGATGCTTGTGTAAGAATACTTTCATTCGATAGACCACGTTTTGATGATAAAAAATTTGAAAAATTCTCATGTGACGATGTTGTCTATAAATATTTAAAAAAATGAAAATAATAAGTTAATATCATTTTGAAAAATAAAATAATCATACTGGTAAAGTATTTGATAGATGTTTATTATGTTTTTGTTGTTGCAAAAAAGAATCAGCATCAACACTCATTGGTCGTTGTAAATAATCTCGTCGATTTATTGTTGGAATTTGATGTCTTGATAATTTTAATCGACAAGGATTTGGTGATAGACTAAGAGCCTCAGCTACTTCTTGTACAGTCATACTATTAACATTTTTTCCATTGTATGATAAAAGTCGATCACCTATTAGTAACGAAACTTTTTTTTGAAATAAAAACAAAAACAGAGAATTTTATTTAATTATTTTTTTTAACCTGTTTGAATTTTTCCTGATCGTGCTGCACTTCCATCAATTGGTTGAATTGATTTAATAAAAATTCCAGATGCTAAATCACCCATAAGCGACATGCCAAAACTATTATTACTATCTTTATATAAATCAACTTCATAGACAATAATTGAAGGTGAATTAATTGTTGTATTTCTAAAATCAATATTTTGTTTTAAGATAAATTATATTTATTTATTTATAAAATCTTACTTTCCTAATGTACTTAAATTTTCATGTGATTGTGATCGACTATGATCAGGCTAAACTAGGAACAAATAATTTTACGAAGAAAAAAAAATTTCATTTATTAATCATACATTCTGATCAACACTTTCGGCATCAGAACCATTACGAACAAAGTCAACTGTATAATAATAAAAAAATCTCTTTCTTTTAGAAGTCCTTTGTTTTGTTAAACATACTTTCACCAATCGGTTCATTTAATAAGCTATATCGACTATTATGACGAAGAAGAAGTGATTTTGTATACGTATATGTATCATAGCATAAATTAAATAAATATTTTCCTCTATAAAACAATTTAGAAAAAATAGTAAAAAAATTTTAATAAAAAAAAAAAGTAAAATACTTACTTTTTACTATTATTAGTTAAATATTTAATTTTTTCTTCATTTATTTGACGTTTAAGTATAATAGAAAATGATTTTTTATCATAAGCTATTCGTTCAATTTGATCCCAAATATAAGTTGATTTTGTTTGTCGTTGTCGATTTTTTAATTGCCAAATCGATATATCTCGTAAACGTATGCCAACAAGATATATATCATCACGTTTTAAATCTTTGTATAATTTATACGTATGATAACCATAATTTTCTATATAAAGATAATATTTCTATTTATATGTATGATAGAAAAATAAATAAAATCTTTCTTTAAATTTAACACAG